TCCATTCCCCCCCTTCCAACCTTGGCGTCCAGCGTCCGCTTGAGCTCCAGCATGTACGAGAACTGCTCGGGGTAGATGTAGTCATACGGGAAGAGCACCAGGAGCCCGTCCACGTTGAGCCTGCGGAGCCGCCGATACCGGGGGGAGGCCCCGGACCCATTGGGATCCATCGGGACCCATCGGGACCCATCGGGGCCCATCGGAATCCATCGGGACCCATCGGGATCCATCGGGACCCATCGGGATCCAGCCAGCCCCCCCCCCCCGATCCCGGCCCCGGCGCTCACTTCATGGCTCCCGCCGCTCCGCACGCCCCGACGCTCCCGCCCCTCGCAGTCCCCACCTCGGTCCGCAAGACCGCCCATTGGCCAGCGCCACCACCGCCCCCTTTCTCTGATTGGCTGCGCTCTCTATCCGTCAAGCGCGCTGGGCCGCGGGGGGGGTTGTGAGTCTGAAGCAATCGAGCGCCGAACGGAGGAGCGCAGCTCCGCACCCGCCCAGGGTCCCTCCGCCCGCCCTCCCGTGAGCCCCGGACGCAGGGAGCGGCTCGGAGGCGTCTGAAAGCGCTTTTATGGGGGGGGGGTGTCCATTATGGGGGGGATCCAGTATGCGGGGGGGGAATCCATTGGGTGGGGTCCATTGGGGGGGGAGTCCTGAGTGGGTCCAGCGGTGCCCGATCACACCTGGGGGGGAAACAGGGGGGTGAGAGCAGGGAATGGGGGTGAGGGGGGGATGGGGGTGCAGGGGGGTGGGGCTGTGGGAGGGGCTCTGCGCTCACCCGCGTGGCCGAGGGCCGGGGCAGGATCCGCTGCTCTCTGCCCGGGGGGCTCAGCCCAGGGGCTCCACCCGGCCGTGGGGTGTGGTGGCTGCGAAGGGCACTGTGAGCACCCATAGAGACCCACAGACACCCCCAGACACCCATAGACCCCTATAGTCACCCCATAGACACCCACAGACATCCATAGAGACCTATAGCACCCACAGACATCCATAGACAGCCATAGGCCCCCCACAGACACCCATAGCCCCCCAATAACCCCCCCATAGACCCTCTATAGACCCCCATAAACCCCCCCATAGCTCCACCAGGCACCCCCCCTAGACCCCATATAGACCCCCATAGACCCCCATAGACCCACATAACCCCCCATATCCCCCCCATAGACCCCCATAGCCCCACCACAGACCATCCCATATCCCCCATAGACCCCCATAGACCCCCATAACCCCCCATATCCCCCCCATAGACCCCCATAGCCCCCCATAGACCCCATATCCCCCCTAGACCCCCATATTCCCCCATAATCCCACCACAGACCCCCCCATAGACCCCCATAACCCCCCCATAGACCCCCTATAGCCCCCCATAACCCCCCACAGAACCCCCATAGACCCCCCATAGCACCCCCGTTGCCCGTTCCCCCCTCACCTCCCTCCCGCGCTCCTCCTCCTCCTCCCGCACGCCGCCAGCCCCAGCGCCGCCCCGAGCGCGGCCGCGGGGAGCGCGCCCCCGAGGGCCAGGGCGAGGGCGAGGGCGGGCGGGGCGCGCCCCCGCGGCGCGCGCGCGCCGGGCAGGGGCGGGGCCGGCACGGGCTCCTCGCAGAGCGCGCCCATGAAGCCCTGAGCGCAGGCGCACACGTGACCGGAAATGTGCGTGTAGCACGTGGCGCCGTGGAGGCAGGGCCCCGAGGCACAGGCGTCGGCGCGCTCCTGGCAGCGGCGGCCGCCGTAGCCCAGCGTGCACGCGCAGCGGAAGGCGTTGGCGCCGTCCTGGCACGTGCCGCCGTTGGCGCACGGGTTCGGGCTGCACTCGTCCACGTTCCGCTCGCAGCGGCGGCCGCGGAAGCCCGGGCGGCAGCGGCACAGGGGGGACCCGGAGGGAGAGGGGCGGCACTGCCCGCCTGTGGGGAACGGGAACGGGAACGGGAACGAACGGGGAGGGGAAGGGAACGGGGGAATGGGAACGCGAATGGGGGAAGCGAAACGGGAACGAGAGGGGAACAGGAACCGAGTGGCACTCACACACCCGTGGAACACCCGTGTATCCCCCATGTAACACCCATGGAACACCCATGGAACACCCGTGTATCCCCCATGTAACGCATACCCATCCCATGCCCTCACCGTGCATGCGGGGCTGCAGAGAGCAGCTGTCACACACACATGTATCCCATGTAACACCCGTGTATTCCCCATGTAACTCCCATGTAACACCCATGTAACACCCGTGTATCCCCCATGTAACACCCATGGAACACCCCTGGAACACCCATGTAACACCCATGTAACTGTGTCCCATGCCCTCACCGTGCAGGCAGGGCTGCAGAGCGCAGCCGTCACACACCCATGTTATCCCATGTAACACCCATGTTATCCCATGTAACACCCATGTTATCCCATGTTATCCCATGTTATCCCATGTTATCCCATGTAACACCCATGTTATCCCATGTAACACCCATGTTATCCCATGTAACACCCATGTTATCCCATGTAACACCCATGTTATCCCATGTTATCCCATGTAACACCCATGTTATCCCATGTTATCCCATGTACCCCCATGCCCTCACCGTGCAGGCAGGGCTGCAGAGCGCAGCCGTCACACACCCATGTTATCCCATGTAACACCCATGTTATCCCATGTTATCCCATGTAACACCCATGTTATCCCATGTTATCCCATGTATCTCCCATGTTATCCCATGTAACACCCATGTTATCCCATGTAATCCCATGTTATCCCATGTAACACCCATGTTATCCCATGTTATCCCATGTTATCCCATGCCCTCACCGTGCAGGCAGGGCTGCAGAGCGCAGCCGTCGCTCCGCCGCTCGCAGTTGGCCCCGCGGAAGCCGGGGGGGCACCTGCAGGAGAAGCCGCTGCCGCGGGGGGCGCAGGCGCCGCCGTTGAAGCAGGGCCCGAGGGCGCACGGGGACGGCTCCAGGGGGAGCGGGGCCGGAGGGGGCGATCCCGGAGCTTCCGGAGCTGCTCCCGGGGCTCCCGGTGCCATTCCCAGTGCTCCCGGTGCCATTCCCGGTGTTCCTGGTACTCCCGGTGCCATTCCCAGTGCTCCCGGTGCCATTCCCAGTGCCCCCGGTGCCATTCCCAGTGCCCCCGGTGCCATTCCCGGTGCTCCCAGTGCTCCCGGATCCATCCCTGGGGCTCCCGGTGCCATTCCCAGTGCCCCCGGTGCCATTTCCGGTGTTCCTGGGGCTCCCGGTGCCATTCCCAGTGCTCCCGGTGCCATTCCCAGTGCTCCCGGTGCCATTCCCGGTGTTCCTGGTACTCCCGGTGCCATTCCCAGTGCTCCCGGTGCTCCTGGATCCATCACTGGGGCTCCCGGTGCCATTCCTGGAGCCATTCCCGGGGCTCCCGGTGCCATTCCCAATGCTCCCAGTGCTCCCGGATCCATCCCTGGGGCTCCCGGTGCCATTCCCAGTGCTCCCGGTGCCATTCCCAGTGCTCCCGGTGCCATTCCTGGTGTTCCTGGTACTCCCGGTGCCATTCCCAGTGCTCCCGGTGCTCCTGGATCCATCACTGGGGCTCCCGGTGCCATTCCTGGAGCCATTCCCGGGGCTCCCGGTGCCATTCCCAATGCTCCCAGTGCTCCCGGATCCATCCCTGGGGCTCCCGGTGCCATTCCCAGTGCTCCCGGTGCCATTCCCGGTGCTTCCAGAGCCATTCCCAACGCTCCCGGTGTTCCCGGTGCCATTCCCGGTGCTGCCGGTGCCATTCCCAATGCTCCCGGTGCTCCCGGATCCATCACTGCTGCTCCCAGTGCCATTCCCAATGTTCCCAGTGCTCCCGGTGCCATCACTGGTGCCACCGCCGGTGTTTCCAGGGCCACCATTGGTGCTCCCAGTGCCTCTCCAGGTGCTCCCAGTGCCTCTTCCAGTGCTCCCGGTGCCGATGCCGGTGCCACTGGGGCCATTGGGGCCATCTTCAGTTCTTCCAGTGCTGCTGTTGGTGCTCCTGGTGCCATTCCCGGTACTCCCAGAGCCATTCCCGGTGTTCCCGGTACCATTCCCGGTGCCATTCCCATTGCCCGGACTGGGCTGGGGCCGTCGCAGTGGGGCCCTGGGGAGTCGCTGCCGTGACCCTGCAGGGGGGGCCCCGGTGCATCAATGGGATCCCCGTGGAGTCAATGGGGTCCCGGGGGGGAGGGTGTCAATGGGGGCCCTGTGGTGTCAATGGGATCCCCTCTGATGTCAATGGGATCCCCGTGGTGTCAATGGTGTCCCTGTGGTGTCAATGGGGGCCCGGGGGGGGGTCAATGGGGTCCCTGTGGTGTCAATGGGAGCCCTGTGGTGTCAATGGGGGCCCGGGGGGGGGTCAATGGGGTCCCTGTGGTGTCAATGGGAGCCCTGTAGTGTCAATGGGGGCCTGAGGGTGTCAATGGGGTCCCTGTGGTGTCAATGGGGGCCCGGGGGGGGGTCAATGGGGTCTCTGTGGTGTCAGTGGGGTCCCGGGGGCGTCCATGGTGGGTCCCTGTTCCCAGGGCTCCCCTCTCACCGCGCAGGGCCCCCCCTTGCTGCAGGCGCTGCCTCCAGGGGGGGCGCAGGGATCCCGACACCGACCTGGGGATAGAGGGGGGGGGTCAGGGCCCCCCCAGACCCAGGGGACCCCATTGAGGGGGGTCCCCAATGGAGGGGTCTGGGGGGAGGGGGAGGGGCACTCACGGCGGGGGGGGCTCCAGCAGCGGGGGGGGGCGGGGTCTCTGCAGGTGGGGGAGGGGCGGCAGCGCAGGCGGGTCCCAAAGCGGAGCCCCCCCCCCGCCCCCCCCCGCCACGGCCCCCCCGGGGAGAGGCGCTCCCGGGTCACGGCGCGGCCAAGGAGGCGGCGGCAGGGGGCTGGAGGGGCAGAGCACGTGACCCCCCCATAGACACCCCATAGAGACCCCATAGCCCCCATAGACACCCCATAGATACCCCATAGAGACCCCATAGCCCCCATAGACACCCCATAGACACCCATAGATAACCCATAGACACCCATAGAGACCCCATAGCCCCCATAGACACCCCATAGACACCCATAGATACCCATAGATACCCCATAGATACCCATAGATACCCCATAGATACCCATAGATACCCCATAGACACCATAGACACCCATAGATACCCCATAGCACCCATAGATACCCCATAGATACCCCATAGCACCCACAGATACCCCATAGATACCCCATAGCACCCATAGACACCCCATAGCACCCATAGACACCCCATAGCACCCACAGATACCCCATAGACACCCATGGGTACCCCATAGACCCCCATAGCACCCACAGATACCCCTGTAGCACCCATAGACACCCCCAAACTCCCTCAGGGTCCCCATGTAGCTTCCCCCCCATTTGACCCCCCTCACCCCCAGAGCCTTCGGCCTCCTCCAGCCGCCAGGACTCGATGGTGAGGGACACGGTGCGCTGGGGGAGGGGAATGGAGGCACATGGGGGGGGTCACAATGGGGGGGTCACATTGGGGGGGTCACATGGGGGGGTCACATGGGAGGGTCACATGGGGGGGTCACATGGGGGGGTCTCAATGGGGGGTCACAATGGGGGGGTCACATTGGGGGGGTCACATGGGGGGGTCAATGGGGGGGGTCACATTGGGGTTCTCAATGGGGGGTCACAATGGGGGGTCTCAATGGGGGGTCTCAATGGGGGGCTCAATGGGGGGATCACAATGGGGGTCTCAATGGGGGGGTCTCAATGGGGGGGTTCAAGGGGGGTCACGTGGGGGTCACAATGGGGGGGTCTCAATGGGGGGGTCACATTGGGGATCTCAAGGGGGGTCTCAATGGGGGTCACAATGGGAGGGTCACATTGGGGGTCTCAAGGGGGGTCTCAATGGGGGGGTCTCAATGGGGGGGTCTCAATGGGGGGGTCTCAATGGGGGGTCTCAATGGGGGTCACATTAGGGGTCTCAATGGGGGGGTCTCAATGGGGGGGTCTCAATGGGGGTTTCAATGGGGCTCTCAATGAGGGGCTCACAATGGGGGGGTTCTCAATGGGGGGCTCTCAGGGGGGTTCTCACCGGCCAGGGGTAGGCAAGGGGCAGGCGCAGGGTCCGGGGCGCTCCGGGGGGGGGGGGGGGCCGGGGGGGGCTCTGGGTGACCCCCAGGGAGCAGCCGCCCCCCCCGGGAGGGCGCAGGCAGAGGCGGAACACGAGGGGCCCCCCCGCCCCCCCCCGCGCCGACAGCACCCGAAGCTCCAGCACCCCCCAGGGCCGGACCTGAGCGAGACCCGAGACCCCTGCATACTCAGAGACCCCCCGAGGCCCCCCAGGAACCAGAGCCCCCCCCCGGAGCCCCCCCCTCAGTACCCAGAGACCCCCCCAGAGGCCCCCCCAGGAAGCAGAGCCCCCCCCCGGAGACCCCCCCTCAGTACCCAGAGACCCCCCCAGAGGCCCCCCCAGTAACCAGAGACCCCCACGGAGATCCCCCCTCACCACCCAGAGACCCCCCCAGAGACCCCCCCAGCACCCAAATAGAGGCCCCCGAGACCCCCCCCAGCACCCAGAGACCCCCTCAGAGACCGCCCCAGAGACCCCCCCAGTAAACAGAGACCCCCCCATAGAAACCCCCTCAGCACCCAGAGACCCCCGAGACCCCCTCAGCACCAGAAGAACCCCCAGAGACCCCCCCAGCACCCAGAGACCCCCCCAGCACTCAGAGACCCCCCCAGCACCCAGAGACCCCCCCCAGCACTCAGAGAGCCCCCCCCAGCACTCAGAGAGCCCCCCCCAGCACTCAGAGAGCCCCCATAGCCCCCTTCTCACCGCTGGGAGGAAGAGGAGGGTGAGGAAGGCGCTCACGAGCCCCGCAGCCATGGCCGGCACCGGGGGTCTGAGCCCACCCCCCACCAGCACCCCCTTTCTAGCGCCAAGCCCCGCCCCCTGCCTATAAGCCCTGCCCACTCGGTTCAAGCTCCGCCCCCAGCCCATTACTCCCCCCCCGGCATTCATCACCAGGCACAGCGAGCTCCACATCTCCCTTTTATTCACCCTCACCGGGGGCCAAAACCCCCCAGAAGGGCTCAAACCCCCCAAAAACGCTGACCCCCCCCCCAAAACCGCCTCATCCCCTCCCAGCCCCAGGTCCATGCCCAGTTCTCCATCCCCATCCGGATGCTGTCAATGATGGGGGGGGGGAGGAAGCAGGGAGGCAGTGCCCCCCCCCGCGTCGGGTGCTGCTCCTCTCTGACGTCACGCTGACGTCATCACTGCTGCTTGGAGCGCCCCCAGAGGCGCCCAGCCCAGGAGCCCAGGAACAGCCCCGGGGGGGGCTTCTTGCCCTGGGCCAGCTCCTCCCGGCGCTGCTGCTCCTCCTGGGGGGGGGGGGGCACAGGGACCCGGTGGGCAACGGGCACCGGGACCCCCCCAAACACCCCTGCTTTAGGGGTTCCCCCCCCAACAACACCCCTGCTTTAGGGGTTCCCCCCCCAACAACACCCCTGCTTTAGGGGTTCCCCCCCCAACAACACCCCTGCTTTAGGGGTTCCCCCCCCAACAACACCCCTGCTTTAGGGGTTCCCCCCCCAACAACACCCCTGCTTTAGGGGTTCCCCCCCCAACAACACCCCTGCTTTAGGGTTCCCCCAAACACCCCTGCTTTAGATTTCCCCCCAAACACCCCTGCTTTAGGGGTTCCCCCCCCAAACACCCCTGCTTTGGGGGCGCCCCCCAACAACACCCCTGCTTTAGGGGTTCCCCCCCAAACACCCCTGCTTTAGGGGTTCCCCCCCAAACACCCCTGCTTTAGGAGTTCGCCCCCCAACAACACCCCTGCTTTAGGGGCGCCCCCCCCCGTCCCCTCCAACCTCCTCCAGCTGCGTCCGGCGCCGTTTGAAGGCTGCCAAGGGATCCTCCTCCAGTGCATAGTGCTCCAGCACCGGGCGCACGTCCGGCACGCCGCTGAGAGCGATGGCTGCGGGGGACAGCGTGGGGCAGGATGGGGACAGTGTGGGGATAGGGTGGGGACACCATAGGGACAGCATGGGGACAGCATGGCGACACCATATGGACAGCATGGGGACACCACAGGGACAGCATGGGGACAGCATGGGGACAGCATGGGGACAGCATGGGGACACCATAGGGACAGCATGGGGACAGCACGGGGACACCACAGGGACAGCATGGGGACAGCATGGGGACAGCATGGGGACACCATGGGGACACCATAGGGACACCATAGGGCCACCAAGGGGACCCCACAGGGCACTCACTCTTGAGGAAGGCCGCCAGGTCATAGAGCTGCCGGTCCTCGGAGCTGCCGTCCCAGCGCGGCAGGGCCAGGCCGTTGTGGGGCTGGAGGCAGAAGGCCTCGCGCCGGCAATCGACCACCACCACCCGCGCCGGGTCCCGGTTCAGGCACGAGATGTCCTGCACCGGGCCCAGCAATGGGTGCTCTGAGGTTTGGGGGTGCTCTGAGGTTTGGGGTGCTCTGAGGTTTGGGGGTGCTGAGGTTTGGGGTGCGCTGAGGTTTGGGGTGCTCTGAGGTTTGGGGGTGCTCTGAGGTTTGGGGGTGCTGAGGTTTGGGGGTGCTGAGGTTTGGGGGTGCTGAGGTTTGGGGTGCTGGGGTTGGGTGCGCTGAGGGCAGGTTTGGGGGTGCTGAGGTTTGGGGTGCTCTGAGGTTTGGGGGTGCTCAGGGCAGGTTTGGGGGTGCTCAGGGCAGGTTTGGGGGTGCTCAGGGCAGGTTTGGGGGTGCTCAGGCAGGTTTGGGGGTGCTCTGAGGTTTGGGGGTGCTGAGGTTTGGGGTGCTCTGAGGTTTGGGGGTGCTCAGGGCAGGTTTGGGGGTGCTCAGGGCAGGTTTGGGGGTGCTCAGGGCAGGTTTGGGGGTGCTCAGGCAGGTTTGGGGGTGCCCCCACCTTCACGTGCTGCCCGTCCATGTAGCGCGTGGCATCGCGGAACAGGCGGTAGGAGATGAAGCCGTGCGGGTCCACGCTGTCGATGAGCGGGAAGGCGGTCTGAAACGGGGGGGGGTCAGAGCCTGCAGGGGGTGGGGGGCACCCATCGGGGCCCGTTCAACCCATCAGGGTCCATTCACCCCCACTGGGATCCATTCACTCCATTGGGGCCCATTCACCCCCATTGGGATCCATTCACTCCATTGGGGCCCGTTCAACTCATCAGGGTCCATTCACACCCGCTGGGACCCATTCACACCCATTGGGATCCATTCACTCCATTGGGGCCTGTTCAACCCATCAGTGTCCATTCACCCCCACTGGGACCCATTCACCCCCACAGGGCCCATTCACTCCATTGGGTTCCATTCACCCCCATAGGGCCCATTCACTCCCACTGGGATCCATTCACCCCCATCGGGGTCCATTCATTCCATTAAGGCCCATTCACTCCCTCTGGGATCCATTCACTCCATTGGGTTCCATTCACCCCATTGTGGCCCATTCACACCGTTGGGGCCCATTCACCGCATGGTGCCCATTCATCCCATAGGGCCCATTCACCCCATGGGCTCATTCACCCGGTGGAGCCCATTCACCCCATAGGGCCCATTCACCCCATAGGGCCCATTCACCCCATAGGCCCCATCCACCCCATAGAGCCCATTCACCCCATGGACCCCATCCACCCCATGGACCCCATCCACCCCATGGACCCCATTCAGCCCATGGACCCCATCCATTCCTTGGGCCCCATGCACCCCATAGCCCCATGCACCCCACGGTGCCCACCATGCCGGTCTCGGAGGTGAACACCACGATCTCATAGAGCGGCGCCAGCTGCTGCAGGAAGCTCTCGATGCCCGGGCGCTTCTTGAAGCGCCACCCGGTGACGAGCTGGGGTTGGGGGGGGGCACAAAGGGGGTGTCAATGGGGGGGGCACTGGGGGCCGGGGGGGGCGGCGCGGGGGGCACTCACCGACCATTCGGGGTGCAGCAGCACGTCCGTGAGCTCGATGACCAGCGTGTAGGGGGGCTGGTAATAGGGCTCCTGCAGGGGGTCCGGCAGCAGCTTGGGGCTGGTGGGCTCGATGATCATCTGGGGGGGGGCAAGGAGGCTCCAGTGGGGGCAAAGAGGGTGCAATGGGGGCAAACAGGTTCTAATGGGGGCAAACAGGGTGCAATGGGGGCAAAGAGGCTGCAGCCACCAACCTGCCTGTAGTCCTTGAAGTACTTGTAGGTCCTGCGGAGCTGCTGGATGCCCACGGGGTCTGTGGGGATGGGCTGGTGATGGGGGGGGCCCATGTGCCCACCACCCCCCCCCCAGAGCAGAGCACCCCAAACCCCCCCCAGCCCCAAAGCAGGGCCTTGAAGCAGCATCAAAGCCTTTGGCTGTGACACCGAGGTGAGAAATGGCCCTGGGGGTGCCCCCCCCCCACTCACCTCCATCGAACTCATCTGGGATCTGTGGGGAGAGGAGGGAACAGGGGGTAAGGGGGGGGGGGGCACCAGCCCATGCCGGGGTGGGAGGGGAGGCAGGAGGTGATGGGGACACTTCACAGGTAGGTGCCACCGTTTCCTTCCGCCCCATTGATGTCCCCATGGCCCCACTGACATCCCCACGGCCCCATTGACATCCCCACGGCCCCATTGACGTTCCCATTGATGTCCCCATTGACATCCCCATGCCCCCATTGACGTCCCCATTGATGTCCCCATGGCCCCATTGATGTCCCCATCACCCCACTGATGGCCCCATCTCCCCCTTTGATGTCCCACCCCAAGCCAATTGTCACCTCTCCCATTGCCACACATGGGCCCTTTGGGACCCCCCCCCCCTCCAAGGGGCCAATGGGGGGGGGCACAAGGCTCAAACCCCCCCCCCAATGTCCCCAGTGGGGGCCTCACCTTTGCTCCGTGCTCATCCACTGCGTTGCTGCCTGGGGGGGGAGACAAGGGGGGGTCAGGGGGTGCTGGGGGCGATGGGGGGGACATAGGAGGGGAATGGGCGTACACTGGGGACAATGGGGTGTACACTGGAGCACATTGGGGGCAATGGGGGTCACATTTGGGCACATGGGGGGCAATGGGGGTTATACATTGGGGCAATGGGGGTTACATTGGAGCAGACTGGGGTACATTGGAGCACATTGGGGTACATTGGGGCACATTGGGGGCAATGGGGTTACATTGGGGGCAATGGGGGTTATATTGGGGCACATTGGGGCAATGTGGGGTACATTGGGACACACTGGGGCAGTGGGGGGTACATTGGAGCACATTGGGGGCAATGGGGGTTACATTAGGGGCAATGGGGGGTACATTGGGGCACACTGGGGGCAATGGGGGTTACATTGGGGGCAATGGGGGGTACATTGGGGGCAATGGGGATTACACTGGGGGCAATGGGGGGTATATTGGAGCACACTGGGGGCAATGGGGTTACATTGGGGCACATTGGGGGCAATGGGGGTCACACTGGGGGCAATGGGGGTTGCACTGGGGGCAATAGAGGGTACATTGGAGCACACTGGGGGCAATGGGGGTCACACTGGGGGCAATGTGGGTTACATTGGGGGCAATGGAGGTTACATTGGGGGCAATGGGGGGTACATTGGGGGTCACATTGGAGGCAAAGGGGGCGCCCTGGGGGTGCTCCGCTAGGGGGCGCTGTCGGTACCCACCGAAGATGCAGACGATGGCGACGCCGCCGCCCGCCCCAAGCAGCCCCGCCAGGCGCAAGGCCACGCGCCGGGCCCCGCCCCGCGCCCAGCGCCGCTGCTCCTCCGCGTCCCCCGCGGCTCCGGCGCCCCCTGCTGGCTGGGAGGGAAACCGGCACAGGGGCTATCGGTGACGGTACCGGGTATACGGTACAGGGTATAGGGTATGGGGTACGGGATATAGGGTATGGGATATAGGGTACA